CTGCAGATGTGCCTCGAAGGCACCTGAAACAGAGGAGACTTGGGAATGCTCTGGGTCATCAAGTCCGGCAGTCTCGCATGGAGAGGGCAAGGACCAGTTGGAGAGCTGCCAGAGGGAGCAACTTGCCCACTGTCCCTCATGAAGTCTTTCCCTTCCACCACACTGTGCTGGCCTCAAAGGCTGAGGGGGCCCAACAGACCCAGCTTGAGGGCCCACACAGTGCCTGCCCACAGGCTGCTTACTTCAATAGAGATGACTCTCCTTGGAGGAACATCCACACTAGGAGGATCAGGCAGGCACTGAACGGGTGTGCTGTCAGTGTCTGCCATGTCCTCATCCATTGCACCCTCAGTGTCCGTGATGAACTCAGGCACTGGCCTGAGCTCACTCGGTGTGGGGTCCGGGGGTGCCACGACCACAGCTGGTGTGATCCTGGCCCCTCTACGCCTCCAGGATGTCAGAAAGTCCTGCAGGAGAAGAAAGGGCAGGGAAGAGAGGGATGTGTCATGGAGAGCTTTGACAGCAGTGCCAGGCTGAGCAGGGGCGATGGCATCACATGTCACAAAGAGCCCTGTGACACCCTGCCCCAGTCCATCCCATTGGTGACACCCACTGTGTCACAAAGGGCCCTGTGACACACTGCAGGTACCTGTACTGCCCTGCGGAAGCGGCCACGGGCACGGTCCTGTTCTTGTGTCCGGTCCTGGCCTGGATCTGGCAAAGAACAAGCTCTGTCAGAGCTGAGGGGCTGCGGGACAGCCCGGAGAACACAGCCCAGCCCTGCGCTCCACAGGCAGGGCCAGCCCCGGGATTCCCAGTGCATGGAGCTGCCGGGGGATCAGCCCTGGGCCCTCTTCCTCCTTCCTTATCCCTGGCCATGTTTACAAGAGATGGAATGGCATGGGAAGAGGCCCATCTGGCTGCAGCCACCAGCCCTGTGGCCCAGCTCTGCCACTCACCTTCCTGCAGGGGCTGGGGCTGCTCCATCTCTTCAGGCTGCTC